ATAAATTAAAGTAAATGCTCAATATTTTACTAATAAGTTAGAGCAGCAAAAATATACAAGTAACGTTAATTGATAGGAGACTAAATCATATAAAATTGATAAAAGATTATCATATAATAGCTTAGTATTAATTAATTATAATTTAAAATATTAATCTCTGATATTAATTATATCTATAGGGTAAAAAATACAAGGAGTTATGTATGAAGAAACTATCGAAAAGTTCAGATATATCCTTTAAAAAAATCAAGTTGTTTTCATTTCAAATGGAAAAGTGAGGAAAATAAAGCCAAAATTTGAAAACGTCTATGAATCACTTGAATTGACATTGACAAAAAATATATCTATCAAATAAGTGCTGATTGAATTCCCTTTAAAGAACATATTGAATAAGTTTGTCCTAATTAAAGCATCATTCTCCATGGAAGATACAAGACAAATTTGTAAGTATTTGAAAATATAAAATTACTAAGTATTTATAAATTTTCATGCCTTATTCTTTAAATATTAAAGGAATCATAAACTTATTATAAAATTATATATAAATAATCTTGCAATAGAAATTAAAGTGAAGTCATTGATCGATCAACTATATTGCGAAATATAACAAGCTAGGTAAGAGGAGGAAAATCACTATAAGGAACCAAATGTATATATATGATACTTATCTATAATAGCATAAGCAAAAAAAAAGGTATTTTATGAAGTCTATCAATGATTATAAACAAACTCTATAGTCTCTTCTATGTCATTTTAGCTGACTTTTAATTAATCATTTTGGCTTATAAAGCTATTTTTCAGATGTTTTTTACTTTTACAATGCTACACTTTCTCAGGTGAAGCTTGGTTTCATGTCAGTCCAAGTAAGATGGAAATTCAAATTGACTTTAGATTACATTTTTTTCGTGTCAACTTAATTACCAACATGAAAATTTAAATTAGGTGTAGCTCATTCAGACAACATCAAAAGTAATAAACAATCATAATGCTAAAGTTTAGAGACATAAATGAGAAAAAACTATTAAAGTGGAACCGATGAATAAATTTTAGTAATGAAATAAACTAAAAATACTTAATCATGATACTTAACCGCATGCATTGCACATGCATGAAACCTTGTAGTAGTTAAATAGATGAGAGGAACTATTCATTTTTACAATATATTAATCATCCTAGCTCGTAAGAAGCAACATATCAATTACCTTTTTAACTTAAAGGAAAATTCTTAAAATCACTGTTCATACTACAATATAAGTCCGGACTCTCTTAATGCAGAACTACAAATTTTAAACCTAAAACACTGTTCATAATACAATATTATGCTCTTTAAGCTACAGTTTAATTTAGAACAATAAAAAACACACTTCATGCAAACATCACAATTCTGAATATAAAAAACTGTTCAATAAAGTGATTTGGAAACTTAATGCTACTATTCATGTGCAGTTAGTTTTCCAACCTCAAATGAAAATGTTCCTGCTATAATATTTTCTGGTGCTTAATGATATTAATGATACTGTGTATACTACAATAAAAAATTTCCCTTATAGATGATGCTTTGAACTTTTATCAAACATTTTACATATATATAATATTTTCTGATTCTATTAAATAAAATTAATAAAACTTACTAATTGGTATATTATTTGTTAACTAATTTTGAGATAAACTCCATATATAGTAGTTAAAAAAATTTATCCCTAAAGCTTTTATAGTTACTAGGTTTTATGCATGCATGTGGTTATATAATATGATTAAGTATTTTTAGTTTATTTCTTTACTAAAATTTGTTCCACAATTTCACTTTGATTGTTTTTGCTCACTTATGTCTTTAAACTTTAGTATTGTGATTATTTATTTTCTTTAATATTTGTTTTAATAGGCTACACCAAATTTAAAATTTTTAGGTTAATAATGGAATTGATAAAAGAAAATGTAATCTAAAGCTAATTTGAATTTTCACATTATTTGGATTGATATAAAGCTAAGCTAGATTTGAGAAGATACAATGCTGTAAAAGTGAAAAATACTTAAAAAATAGCATTGTAAAATAAGGATAAATAATTAAAATCAATAAGCCAAGATAATTAATTAAAAGTGGGCTAGAACGAAACTAAATAGAATATAAATTTTCTTGCTAATCATTGATAGACTTCAGAAAAAATCATAAAATAAAGATTAATGCTAACTCTAGTATACTTTTTTATATGATAAAAGCATCCGCATAACCATATAAAAATATTAAAAGGGTTCATGAAAATTCCTTCTAAAGATTCTTGATTTTATGTAAAAAATTAAGCTATTCTATAAAATATTCAATAATTTAAATTTGTGTTGTATTTATAAAGAGCATTGATGGAGATACTTTTATTTTAGCAGCTTGTTCTAAATGAGCCCTGCATATTAGCTTTAAAGTGTAATATTTTTTATCGTGTTATATGGATGTTTGCTTGGTTTACTGATCATTCTCTTATTTCTTCAATAAGTTGTATTTTTGAATTGATATTATTAATACAATTTACGAAGACATGCATATCTTTCCTATAAATTTGAGACATATATAATGTGAATAGTAGCCTTTAATAAGAATTTAATTAGTTGTAAAATATATTACCTTCATATTTAAAGATCTTGAAATCTGATAGTACTATTACATGCTTATCTTTTATCGTGTCCTTAAAAATTTATTCTTCGTTGGTAGTCATATCCCCAAATAAGGTTACTTGCAGAGTCGTGCCACTATATAGAAAAAAGTAAAATATCAAATTTTAATTTTTTACTTACGCTATGGTAACTAAGTATCATGTACATACTTTTTGTCCATTATAATAATTTTCCTCATCTTATCTAGCTTATTATATCTCGTAATATAGTTGATCAACGGCTTCACTTTAGTTTATATTGAAATATTATTTATATGTAATTTTATATTAAGTTTATTATTCCTTTAGTATTTCAAGAATAAAGTATGAAAATTTATAAGTACTTGCTAATTTTTATTGTATCTTTCATGAATAATACTTTTTTAATTAGGATAAAATTGTTCAATATGTTCTTCAAGGGGAACTCGGTCAGTGCTTCTTTGCCAAATATGCCTTTTATCAATGTCAATTCAGGTGATTCATGAATGTTTTTGAATTTTGAGTTTATTTCATTCACTTCTCTATTTGAAATAAAAACAACTTAGTTCTTTTAAATGATATTTCTAAACTTTCTGATAGTTTTTCTATACATAACTAATTATATTTTTTTAATTACCCTATGAATATTATCAACATTAGAGATAAATGTTTATACATAATAATCAATTTATGCTAACCTATTATATTATAGTCTTTTATTAATTTTTTTCTATCAATGAATGTTATTAATAAATTATATGTATTTCTTTGAATTTATACAATAATATTAATTTTTAATCTATCTTATATTTTTAAATTCTTATTCCTTAACTGGATAGTTTTAATCCACGGTAATTGCTATTTTTTATTAGCATCAACTTGGATTACTTTTAGATGCTGAAAAAGGATGAAAATTTTAAATTGAAAGTTAAATTTATATATCTTAATATAATAATAAATATTTTCTCTTTTTTATACCAAATTTTAGTTTTTTTGTGATTTTAAACTTTTGAGGGTGTGTTTTATAATTTCTAAACTTTGATAGTATTTTATGAAAATTTTAAATTATAAGTTGGGTGCTTATAATTTTCATGTTTCATGTGTTGGTAGTAAGTTTTTAAATGTTAGAATGTTTCTTATAACAGTAAAAATTTGAAGGTATTTTTACAATTACTAAAATTTAGATTGTTTTTAAAAAAATTTAAATTCTCAGCGATCTACTGATAATTTCTAAATTTGATGTGTACTAGTTATCAGTTTTGAAATTTTAGTTTTTATTGTAATTTTTTACTTTTGAGGGAGTTTTTGTAATTTTTGGAACTTTGAGGTTATTTTTTATAAATTTAAAATTTTAAGTGCCTAATGGTAATCCCTGGAATTCATTTATATTGTTTCTAAGTTTTAAAATCTCTGAATTTTAGGGTGCTTTTTTATAATTTAAATCTTTTGAGGTTGTTTCTGTAATTTTTAAAATGTTGAGAGTGCTAATTGTAAATTTTAAATTTTTTAGATTTCATATTTGTTTTTAAGTTTTACAAAGTCAAGGTGTTTTGTGTAATTTTAAACTTTTAAGTCTATTATATGCAATTTTTGAAACTTTTGTATTTTTTATAATACTTCATGTATTATAATATGTTATCTACGTATAATTTTTTAATCTTATTTTTTCTAAATTGTTGAGTATTAGGTAGTTCATATGGAGTTAATATAGGATATAATTAATATTTAGATATGTTAAGATTTAAATAAAATATTTAAAATATTTTTTTTAAAATTTTCTGTGTTATAGATAATTTACGTGGAATTAGATAAGATATGATTAAAATTAGAATAGGTTAAGATTTAAATGAAATATTCAATATAGTGAAGGGTAATATTAAACATTAAAAATTTTTCCTGCTTTTAAGAGGAATATGATATAATATAATATTGATATAAAAAAATTAAACTACAATTTGGCAATAGACATACTTTAATAAATAATATCGGGAGCAAGGCGCTGGCCTAATACTTGTTAGTTTAACTTAAAGCCTTAATTTCTAATAAAATATTCTCCTACAGTGTCAAGGTCGGCATCCGGTTAATATTCTCATCCCATGGCCTAGAAATATCTGCACATTCTATTAAGAAAAATTCTTTAAGGACCCAAAATATGGGACCAATAAAGGGGACAAGTGAGGTGTCCCCCTCCTATTGGATAATGAGTTGGTTATCATTAATGATAACCAACTCATTATCCAATAGGAGGGGGACACCTCACTTGTCCCCTTTATTGGTCCCATATTTTGGGTCCCTGTAGCAAAGCTCTTCTATTAAGGCCTATACCAAGGTGAGAGTAAATGAATAGCCCAAGTTTCAATGGGTTGGATCGACATAGTATTGGGCCTAGCCCAAACCCGAATCGGTGTTACGCCTCCAGCGGTCGCTTCGTGAGTCGCGACCGATTCCCCGTCTCCATTTGATATTGCCGGAAACTCCGACGGTCATCATTCACAGCCAAAACTAGGGTTTTTTCTATTTCTTCCCCCCTCTTGTTAGGGTTTTACGCTAAATCCGACTCCATGGCCGACGCTCGGGTACTTTACTTTCTTCGCTTATTTACATTTAGTGATACTTTATCTCGTTTAGTCACTTTTTTTATATTAGAATCGGCCTTGTTTCTGTTGTTATTCCCTGAAAATTTAGGTTTAAATTAGAGCTGGTCTTGATATACCACACCTATGAAAAGAACTTAAATAATGTCGACGTTGATGAAAGAAGAATGTTGAGAATGAACACCGTAAGTATCAAGAAGGATGATAAAAGTAGGTGGCTTGCAAATTATAGCTTGCAAATTAAGTGTTGGTTATGTACAAATCTATTGTTAAGTGATTCAAGTGTAACGTTTTATTTATTTGTTTGTTTGTTTTGGCAGATTATTATTATTTATACAGGTTGATGATACCTGCTTAGTTTAATCTATATAGCAAATCTATGTTTACAATTATCCCTTTATTGGAGCATGGTGCTTTGTTTTTATGCATGAAGTTGGCTCCAAGGAGAGGAATCGAAGAACAATTTTATATCCAAGGCTCATGATTGAAAAATCAGCCATATGTAGATAAGACAAATATACATGCTAAAAGATATGCTTGTCAGGGACCTGTTTTTATCTTTGCATCTTCACATATAGGAGCCTCGTTAACGTTGTACGTATGTTCTAGTTTAATGCGTATCGATGTTCGACATTGTTTTCATAATCACGTGTTTTGTAACACCTCCTGTGAAATTTTGATTTCCATTCAAGTAGAATGATAGAATGTATCATTAATATTTGATCAGATTGTCAATTTGTTTTACTGTAGACATGACCTTTTTCCCTCTATTACATGATTGTTTTTGTTGCTTGTTTACTTAATTATATAGCTGTTTTACTGTTATAGGTGAGTATTGGTTTCTTGCTTCCCCTTGGGAGCAATCTTGCCGTAGAAAATTCTGTTCCAAACATTCCAATTTATGAAGGGATCAATGTTATTGGACGTAATAACCTCGCCATAACTGACAAGCGAGTGAGTCGGAAGCATATCAGTTTGTGTGCATCAGTTGATGGGTCTGCTGAAGTCACGGTGGTATGTGACTTCTATTAGAGACTATGTTGCTATTTTGATTAAATGGAAATTGACTATTGACTTTTTTCCTCGAAAGAATGACTGGCTTTCGGCACATTAAACACTTACAATAACTCTGAGATATATACGATGTTTCGTTTGATGGTAGTAAGTAGTGCTTATAAGATTTTATATACACGTCCTGCAATAAGTTGGTAGATTTGTTATAGCTATTTGTTCACCAAGTAAATGAAAATAAAATGGTTATAACGAGTTATGCAGTCTGAAATTTATTTTTATTTTGGATTGTCTTATAGGAAGGTCCAAATCCAATAGTTTTCAAATCAGGGGATCAAAGAAAGAAGATTTGTTCTCAAGACAAGTGCCCAATTACCCATGGGGATATTCTTGAGTTGATTCCAGGGAATCATTTATTTAAGTATGTCATAGAGGGCAGACACCATGAATCTTCATCCACATCCAATTTATGCCTCTCAAATAAAGGAAAGAGATGCATTGAAGATGAGCCTTTAGCTATCAAGAGAAACCGCCAGTTCCACGAAGACGAAGCTATTGCAAGAACACTCCAGGTGCTTATGCATTATTATACATTTTGAAAGCATTTGTATCACACCTTTTGCATCACTGTTTCATGTATTAGCTATTGCCAGTAGATTGCCTTATTTCTGGGACATTAAATTTGTTGGAAGAACCCTTTGTTGGAAGAATCCTCTATGAACTTAATTTTCAAAAGTAGAAATTTCAAAAAGTAAATCTGTTTTAACTGCTGATGGGGTGGGACAAAATGTTTGTGGGATGAGGCAAATTGTGTTCACGAAATGAAATGAAATGTTTATGAAATGACGTTGATTATTGTAGGACTTTCATCAGATAGCATTACATCCACATGATACCTAATCTGCTGATTTGATGGATATACCACATTATGAAGCGATTAAAGGTGAAATCCATAAACACAAAAAAGAGAACCACGCTAAAGGACCAGGATAAGGTTTCAAGATGGTCAATTAAAATGATAAAGGATCAGTAGGATAAAAGAACAGTGCTACAAATGCTGTTTCGTTGACTATGTGGCTTGAAACAAGCAATTCCTTTAGGAGATGCAAGTCACAGGACATGTACTTATATGCTCAGAAAGATTTAATTTGCGCCAGCTATTTTCTCTAGCTGTGTACTCTAAGTTGCATGGAAACGGGCACGGGTACTGGTACGGGTGCGGGTACGGGACACGGCAAAACTGTAAAATGTAAGGTACGGGGACACGACTACATATATATTGAATTAATACTATACATAAGATAAATTTTCCCCCCTTCATGTGTCATTAGAATTAAAATTCCGATCACATTTTTGAGTTTCTTTTATCATATTGATTATCGTGAATTGTAAACTACTTATTTTTTTTACTAGACATCTAAACGACCTATTAACTATATAGTTTTAAACTTGGGTATGGACTGAAACGAATCCGACCCGTATCTCATTAGTTTCAAAAGACGGATGTGAAGTGTAAGCTCTACGTCCAGGAAGTCATTGACAAGTGTTTTAAATTAACACATATATCGTATAATTGAGTACATGTTTAATAAATGCATGCATATATTCAAGAAGTGTCCATGAAGTTTGGGTACGGGAAAGTGTCGGGTACGTGTCCGGTACGGGTACGACTTCATTATAGAAGTACCCGGGTAGTGTACTAGTTTAAGCATCTACGTGAAAACGAAATCAATCAACTGAATACAGTTTTGAAGAAAATAGCAACAGAATGATACTACAAAGATGATAAGTAGAAATTTCCTAGTATGATAACTTTCTTGATTCTTTTTGACATTTCCGAGTTTTATAAGATCGAGAATAATACATTGGTTGATGCTGGAAGAAATTGGCTTCCTTACAAAATAAAGAAAGGTGCAGGTACTAGTTGGACTTTAGGATTATAAATTCGTAAAATATAATTCACTGCAGACTGGGGAAGTTAGGTGTACAAGGCTCCACACACGAGACCTTTGGCATGTTTAATGTTGTCTAAAATGATCAATTCCTCATTTAAGTCAAAACTCTCAAATATATTTTACGCTCTCAGATCCAGATAGTCCAGTACACTTAAAATCTCTCACCCTTAATTATACTGTTTCCTTGGTTGTTTTTATTTTTAGATCTGTAGCATAAATAAGTAACGTTATATTTTACCTAAATTCTTAGTTGAGTTATCTCTTTTTGATGATAAAGGTCAAATTCTTGTTTCTTCTAAAGTAGAATTACTTTATCTATTCATTATTTACACTTAAAGTTGGTGAATATTTGTTCTGTGATCAATTTTACCCTAGATTTTGTACAGAATGAGCAAGCTATTAGCAAGATACATGATAACACATCAGCGATCACCAGATATGGTGGCTCTCAGTCAGATACTGCTATTGATTTAGCCTCTGGGAGTGTGGAGTCCATCCGTGACTTTCACATTCCTAAGGATAGGTTGGATCTTACCTTCCAGCTCATGCGAGTCCAGGGCCTTCCGGCATGGGTAAATTCATCTTCAGTTGCTATCGATGATGTCATACAGGTCAGATCTTTTGTTAGCACTGCAAAGAAATAGACAAGTAATATGTATGTTTATCCTCTCTCTTTTTTTGTGACTTCTACGCACTAGTATTGTACATGCTATGTTTCAATTCCAAAGTACTAGATGAATTATAAATGTCTATGAGTAGCTCAGGAAAATATGATTAGTATGATGTTATCGATGAAAAAAGTAATTAACTGAGTGAACTGATTGTCATAAACTCATGGTCAATAAAGCACGGTTTTGTTAGATGATTGGTCTAGGAGCCCGCAATGCATAAGCTGGTTAAGCTTTGATTAAATGAATAATATGGAAGTACATAGATTCAAATTATATATGTGTATACAGGTCAGATCTTTTGTTAGCATTGCAAAGAAATATGCTAGTACTATGCATGTTTTTTCTCTCTCTTTTTTAATAACTTCTATGCACTTGTATTGTACATGTGATGTTCCAATTCCAAAGTACTAGGTGAATTATAAATGTTATTAGTAGCTCAAGAAAATATGATTAATATAATGTTATTGATGAAAAAAGTAATTGAGGGGACCGATTGTCATGGACTCATGGTCAATGTTCTAAAGCACAGTTTTGTTAGATGTTGAGTGTAGAAGCCCATAATGCGTAAGCTGATTAAGCTTTGATTAAACAAATAGAAATAGTGCAGAAGTACGTTATTTGAATTACATATATGTATATGTATATGTATATGTATTGTTAAAATAGCCAAAATCAGGAGAAAATATATTAGAATATGTATGCTCAAGGAACAACCATAGGCATATCAAGAAGGAATACCATCAACCACTACAACGAGAAATTTGAATAAAAATAAAAATAAAAATAAAAACAATGAAAGAAATCAGAAAAAAGTTAGATACATGCCCCCAGCAATCACCATACAGTTGTCATATTGGAAGATTTCTGCAGTTACACCTGAGGCCATTTAAGGCTTCTGCAGTTACACATGAACTTGTTTATCAAAAGTCTATCCTTGATCTTATCAATATAAAGGTGGTCTTCAATATTATAGCATGATCCACTTTTGTAGGAAATCGTCTATTTTCATTCATCTTAAGATTATCTCTGCATTTATTTCAATTCCTATATCTGGCCATTTAAAGAATCATTTTTAATCAATTTTTTTAGATAGAACATATAAAATGTATCAGACACAACTAATGTAGTTAATTCTTATTTGGGCTTGCGAAAGCAACTAACTTTTGACTTGCTCAATGGATTACTAGGGAAGCGTGCTTGTTGCTATTCTTTCAAATTATATGGTCGACATTGACTGGTTGATGTCTGGTATGTCTGGACCCATTCAGCAGTTTATGAGTTACAAATTTTTTTGTGTTGTTTTATATTTTCACTTGTTTAATGCACATCACTGGGCATTGTGACTTGTAGGTTGTCGAGGCAAGCTATTAGTTCAACATATTGCATGAGTACTCTGAGAATCTGATACTAGAAAATTTTTTATACTTGTTTATAAGAAAGGAACAAATATACTGTTTTTTTTCTTTTTGATCCATTTCTTTATGCTATTTCAAAATGCAATAACTTTGGGAACATGTGAAGCTATATTTGTTTCCAATTATGAGGATGTTAAAAAAAAGGAAAAACATTTTTCTGTACCACTCCGAAATCAATTAAGCATGAGGATGATCACTTCCTTTCCATAATTGCTAGACTAGTTTCTAGTGATTGCTTGTATTGAATGAAGGAAGCATGGTAATCATATTTTCCTGCTTTCAGCTGCAAGTGATCATTGTCCTACATCATTAACTGTTTGCTTTCATAATGCCCTGGCATCTATACATTACTTGCTTTATTTTTCTGGTTATACAACTATTTTTCTATTATTTAGGCATATGTGCCTGTTTCTATTTACTTTAGCAGAATGGAATCACTGTCTCTTCTTTAATTTATTTTTCTGGCTTGCACCATAAAAATTCTTTCCCCCTATTTTCACTGGCTTCATTTCTTGTTTTATTTGATGAACTGTAATGAACTTCAGTGTGTTGGAAATTTTTCATGTTTCTACTTGTTTTAGTTGGAAACTCGGGATGAAGTTGTCTTTCCTCAGTGAACTTTTTATTTCCAATGGATGACCATTAAGTTATGGAACTTATGAACGCCCTTAGTATTCATTTTCCAGTTTCTAAAAATTTCTGCTGAAATTTCTTCTCATGCTTTTATACCTTATTTTCTTTTTTATCCCTTCGGATCTATAGTCTAGTGTAATATATCTTCACATGTATTACAGTTCCTTGTTTCTTCTCATTTTTGCACCTCTGTCGTATATTTTGAAGTGACAACTATTAGTTTTCGTAGCATGCCCGAACTTGAGGAAGATTCCTCATGTGCTTGTTATTCATGGGGAAAATGGTGCTACCGCGGAGCATTTAAAGGTAATGTAATTCTGGTGTCTTACAAATTTTATTGACATGACATCTGTTGATGCTTGATGTTGCAGAGGAACAAGCCTGCCAATTGGATTTTGCACAAGCCTCCACTTCCTATATCATATGGAACACATCACTCTAAAGCAATGATTCTGGTGTATGCAACAGGGGTGCGTGTTGTTGTACATACAGCGAATTTGATTTATGTTGACTGGAACAATAAGACTCAAGGTTTATGGATGCAAGATTTTCCCTGGAAAGATAATAACAGCTCGAGCAAGGGGAGTTCATTTGAAAATGACCTAGTTGATTATCTTAAAACACTCAAGGTAGTTATGTCCATTTTCTTGCCTGCATACTTAAATGTTCCTGTTTAATTATTTTACGGTTTATATGTCATCATTTTGATGTGTCTATTGTGCATGGTGACTATCATGAATTTGAAGATAAAAAGAAAGGGAGCAGATCACAGAACTTATTTATAAAATATATTCCTAAACAATTTTTTTCTTCTCTCTGTAGATAGTAAGCTAACAATTTTATTTGGGTAAGTTCTCTTTGTTTTCTTATTCATTAACCCATGTTGAATTTCAAAATTTTAACATTTGTTGCTCATCGCCTTGCGTGCAGTGAAGAAGATATTTATTGTATTATAGAAATTAATCGATCATTCAATTACCAAAAAGTTTACTAGTGAAAGGTTTTACTGTTTTTAGCCGACATCATCCTATTTTTCTTTAAATATTTGAAGCATAGAGGCATCATTTCCTATACAAACCAAGGAACAAGATTTCGTCTCAGATTAAGCCAATCAAAACCTAGTATGGTTCCTAATTTCAATTTTTCCTTCTCAATTTTACTTCTATACCAATTCCAAATCAATAACTACTAAGATTATCGATAGCAGATAGCGTCACGTAGTGGTGAGGCACCGCTCTATTGTGGCAAAATAGCGGCATAAAGCGCAAAGTCAAATAGCTGTCTAACTTAGATATGTATAAGTATTCAAAAAAATTAAAGAAAAATCTAGAAAATCTAAAAGTACATATGTGATGATCTAAAGAGATTTTAAGTATGAAATAGATATATAACCATCACATAATACTGAAGACAATTGGAGGAGGGCTCAAAGAGTCGTCGTCTTCGAGAAGATAAGCTGGACGGTGAGAGGACTACAGTAGGGGGAGCTCATAGTGAGAGGAGGTGTTGTGACAATGAGAAGAGTGCTGAGGGAGGTGCTAGAGGCTGTAGGAGACGACATGAAGATGCCGGAAGTTGCGGGAGGTGTCAGGATGCAGTGGGAGGCAGTGGCCGTTTTGGGAGGGCCATGGTTTTTTTAGAGTTGGATCACGAGGGGGAAACTCATGAGAAAAAACATTGATCGGTAATGGCTTAGAACATTGGGTCTTCTGGTGCGGGTGAGTAATTAAAAAAAAAAAAAACCTAAAAACACTTTTAAATAGCAATTAAAAGCGGATTTTACATGCAATTGTCTGCTATTCACCGCTATGGCACGCTATTGGCCGCTTTTGCAAGCAAAAAGTGCATTCTTCCTAATATGTCAGTACTAGTGGGCGATAGCATTGCGGAAGGGGCCGCTAACGCTATTAGCGCTACTATTGTGGCGTTATTTACCGTTGTTTATAACAATGATAACTACCAACCCTGTGTAACTGTGTTCATTCTTTAAAACTGAATATATATACATATATAAAGTAAAATTCCTATAAACTAAAGTGGATAGGAGTCCTTTCTCCACCAACATTTTTATCCATAAAATTTGTTTTGATATTAGTGCTAGCATATCATACAAATCAATGCACAATTACCAAATATAGTCTTGATGTGTAGCACAAATCTCAAAGCATAATGAAGGGATAAAAAAGTTGGTAGACAAGTGCTTATATCCACTTAAGTTTATAGAAGTTTAACTCTCTCTCTATACACACACACATACACACACGTATACATACATATATATATGTATATACATACATACGTATGTATTCATATATGTATGTATATATATATATGTGTGTGTGTGTTACATACATATACATATATACATAGTATATATAAACATATATGTATATATATGTATGTATGTATGTATGTATGTATGTATGTATCTGTATTTGTATATATGTATCTGTATACAAATACATATACTTATCTGTGTGTGTGTGTATATATATATGAAAAAATAGAGCAACTTGGTACCAAGTTGCTCCATTCAACTTGGTAGTGATGTGGATTGATCTGGTCCCTACATCTACCATTGAATTAGGTGAAAAGTAGTTGAGCCTCTATTTTCGAGTAATGATGTAGAGGCCAGATCAGTTCACATCACTACCAAGTTCAATGGAGCAACTTGGTACCAATGTTCTTTATTTTTCTCTCCCTATATATATATATATGAGAAATATGGGTATGTTTGGTACCAAGCATAAAATTTGTGTTTGGTAGGGAGGTGACATATTATCCTCTACTTATTCAAATGGGGGGACCACATTCACATGGGTTGAATGTGGTCCCCCCAATTGAATGAGTGGATGAGAATGAGACACCTCACTACCAAGCATAAAATTTGTGCTTGGTACCAAGTATACCCATTTTTTTCTCTCTCTCTCTCTCTCTCTCTCTCTATATATATATATATGGAGAGAGAGAGAGAGAGAGAGAGAGAGGATAAGGGGGGAGAATAGGAAGATAGAACTTGAAGGTTACCTAGAGAAGTAGATTCTCTTGGGCAGTTGAATACCTGCATCTGACCAGTTTGGAATCTCACTAATTTTCGTAATGACTCTGATTTAAATGATATGAATTGCAACTAAGTGATCCGCTCTTACAAGTATATTTCATTTCATCTGCTTGTTATTCTTTTTTAAGGGCTATAACTTATCTCTGCATGCTAAACTTTTCCTGACAACCAAGGTTCTCTTAAAACATTATTTTCTTCAGAATTGTGGTTGATTTTGTAGCTGAAAGGACTGATATAATTTTGATGTCTACGTGCAGTGGCCTGATTTTGATATTACCCTTCCTGGGATTGGCAATGCCAACATCAATGCATCCTTCTTTAAGAAGTTTGATTATAGCAGTGCAGCGGTATCTTCTCATTCCATAAGATGTACATGTAGATGTAGTATTAATATTTTACCCTTTTATTCCATGAAATGTATACGTAGATGTAGAGTTAATACTTTACATTTTCATTAATCTATATTATGTCACCTTATCTATTAGCTTCATGTTCCAATGATTCATATCACATTCTTATGTTGTTTTTTTATCTGCATGATTGTTTGTCTTTGTTGCTTTTATTGAAAAAGAAATTAAGTTTGGTTTTTTAGTAAGTTAATATTGTTCATTTTGCCTTCCTAATACTGTTATCCATTTCAAGCTACCCAAATCATCAATATGTTTTATTACTTGACTTGTCCTCTGGATCCTGGGTTTTCTATTTATTATTCCTAACCTTTTCTGTGACCAGGTCAGATTGATTGCATCTGTTCCAGGGTACCATAGTGGTCTTAATCTTAAAAAGTGGGGTCATATGAAACTACAAAGTGTTCTTAAAGAGTGCATTTTTGACAAAGAATTTTGTAAATCTCCGCTTGTTTACCAGGTATAAGAGACCTTTTTTCCTTACAAAATTATCTGTTTCATTCCTTGCTAGTACTGTCCAATGTTTGTTCTTTGCTTTTTGCACATATATTTATTATTTATGGCTTGTTCTTACTTGGTAAACGTGCAAGACTATGTCTTGTATTCTAGTCTTTATTGTGAATGATATATGTTTCATTAAGAGATTACCCATCTTCTTTTAGAAACTTCAGATTACCCATCTTCTTTTAGAAACTTCATTTTCAAAATTCACTCGGATGTTTCAGGAGTGCAGAACTCTCCACGTGACACCTTGTGATCTGAATTATGGTGAATTTCTTTTCCGCTTGTCCCTTGCAAACTAAACACCTAGGAGAATGAAAGTTCCTCAGACTGAAAGAATAATAAGGAAAATAACCAGGAGGTATGACATGCCTCTGACATTGTATTCCATCCAGCTACTGTGAGCATATGATCTGATTGTGGCGTCATTCATTATAATTGTCTTTATCTGGATGTGACTTTCTTCTATTTGCCTAATCAAATTTAGATTTGGAGTTCAATCCAAACACGTAGCGAGGGCTTGCCATGTATATTTCACCCGCTATGTGATTAAATTAGGTAAAAAATAGTTTAACAGAGATTTGGGTGTTTGTTATGTGGATAAGTATGCAAATTGTTGGTACATTTGGGTGTAGATTTTGTATGTGCTTCTTGCCAGATAGGTCTTTGGCCATAAAGCAAAAGATTATTTTTTGTGGGCATGTGCAGGTTCAAGAAATCACTTTAAATAATGTACTTTTCTTCTCATTACACAATTAATAACAGTGTCAACACAATGGGCTCGCTACTATCTTCATTAAATACTTCAGGCTTTTTAACTTTAGTCGATGCTTCCGTTTAAAGCCTTTTGATTTGTGAGCCATCATTGTATAGTCATTTCAAATGGATTCAAACAAGTTCAGTGCATATTTTTAAAATTTTATTATTGGGCATGAAATGCTCACTTTTAATTTTTCTCCCATATAAGTATTTATACCGCTATATTTTTTTCCCCTTTTACTTATGCATGTCTTATTTAGTACAATTTGGTCCTGTGATCTAATAATCTTGACCTTTTGCAGTTCTCATCTCTTGGTTCTTTAGATGAGAAATGGTTGGCTGAGTTTGCATCGTCACTGTCGTCAGGTATGACAAGTGATAAGTCGCCTTTGGGTGTAGGGATACCCCTTATAATCTGGCCTACTGTGGAAGATGTCAGATGCTCTTTAGAGGTATTACAGTGACAGGAAGTACCAAGTTTCTACATCTCATTTGTTTCTCATACAATTTTGAATCTATTACTTAATAATCAATTCATTATTCAGCTTAGGCTTAGGTATCCATATAACTTGTTACATTGTAGTTGTTGAACAAGACAAAAGGCTTAGTAGAAATCTGTTGAATTTTGCTGAAAAATCATTGAACTTTTTTCTTTTGTTCATTCCAACTCTTGATGTGGTTTTCTAGATATGAAATATCATTTTCATCTTCAATGTTTTTTTAACAATTTATTCATTTTGAGTTTTGAGTTAAAAGGTTAGCATATTTGGACTGCTAAAATTCTACTTATGTTATTATATGTAAGATGTATGTTTGAGAAAGAGGAATAATGGATTGAAATTAAGTTATATGCATCAATTTAAACCTCGACAAGAAACCTCACCGACTCTCGTTTTTCTATTTGATGGATCCATTAGATTGTGTTATAGAGCCATTAATATCTGTTTGTTCTTTGAATTTTTGGTTCAAATTATTTTGTTAACTAATGCTTTTGTCATGACTTTTTTGCTTTTAATCTTCTACAAATATTTTACCTCATCTTTTATGAAGTTTTGGTCTGGTAAACTGAAGTTTTCATTGTGAGTAGACCAAAACTCCAAAGAAGATGTACCAACAATCAGAGTGGTTGAAAGTAGCTCCATTTTGTCATCTCAAGTGGATCTCATTATAGGATATGTTTGGTTATAGAGAGTGTTGTAACGACAAATGTAGTTATACTTGGATGTAATTGCAACTCAAGTTGTTTAATGTTGCAAAGCTGCAACACTATAATTTGAGCACGGATGAAACTCCTAATTTTTAGCGTATTTTGGTGTGCAACAACATTTTCTTGTTGCAACCATATCAAACAAACACTCATACATGTAGTTGGAACAACATAGTGTTCCAATTATGTTAATACAAACACAACCATCATGTTGCAACTACATTTGTTGTTCCGACCTCTCTAACCAAACACACCCATAGTGGACAGAATTATTGTGAATAGGACGAAATTTGTTCTAGCATTTGATCGACCGATCATGAGTATATGAAGGTCTCAATTAAGATCCACAAGGATATCAATGTATATATGGTGCAAACACAACAGTCTGTATGGAATTTTTTCAAGCATTCCATTCACCGATCATGATTATATTGAGGTCTCAGTTAAGCTCCACAAGGATATGAATATAGTATTTGCTGCAATCACAACAGTTTGTACAGATAATTTTACATCTGGTTAGTGCTCTGCTTGGACGTCTGGGAATTATATTCCTTTGTTATTAGTTTTTCTTGTTGGGGTCATCTTTACAATTTTTTGTTGATTATATTTTTGAGGTTTGCTTATTGTCTTGTAACATGTTTTAGGGCTATAGAGCTGGTAACGCTATTCCCAGTCCACAAAAGAATGTGGACAAGGATTTTTTAAAGATGTATTGGGCAAGATGGAAGGCAAACCATGTAGGACGGTGGTATGTGTCCTAATTCCTCTACTGAATGTTCAATCATCTCTGAGGAATATATTCTTTTTCAAAATATGATAATCTTGGAAAACATATTTGGCACTGTTTATTTAACATTAGGTAATCAATTTTTATCCTGATGTAATCCTTTTACATGTGAAACTGCTTTTAATTTGAGTGGAAGAGGGCATGGTGTGATGGCTGTTAACTATTACAACTTACAATAGAACAAGTGTGCTATAGTAAGTTTCACTAGATAAAGATGTTAATAATTCTAACCAATTTCTGAGTAATTTGGGCACTATTTCAGATCAAATGGAAAATGTAGTCTCTCAGCTATTCTAAAGGATTCTCTATGGAGTTTTATAGTTGTCAACATTACTCCAGTGATGTGTGTGCGCCGAAGTTGCTGCAGGCACTGACATCAGTACATTTATATACATCCTCTACTCAGTGATGAATTTTCAATGCAGATCCTATCTCTTCCGGACATTAAACATATCCGGCATTGCTGTGCAGTACTCGCAGTTTGTGTATTACTCTGTTGCATATGCGACCACATATGCTACCGCATTTCTCTGTTGCATATGCTCGATCTTCATGCTGATGTGGTGATGAATAAGACCCAAATTTGAAATCTCCCTTCGGCTAATGAATCCCTTAAAGGTTGACGCTGGTGAATTAGCAACTATACCATGTTTTACTTCCCTAATCAATGTTCATCTTGGTCTATCCCTAGTCCTCGTTGCTCCTTGCACTCTGATCCTATCCTTCCTACCTTCCCTAATCAATGTTCATCTTGGTCTATCCCTAGTCCTCGTTGCTCCTTGCACTCTGATCCTATCCTTCCTACCCAGCGGATTCTGTTTTTTCCCCTCATTGGAATTTTCCACTCTGCCTAAACATAGCATCTCAGTAGCATTATTGTGCATGAATGAGCAAGAAATGACAAGTTGGTCGATCAATAATATGCAGAATGATGGTGCACCATATGATCAATTTCTGCGAAACAAGGTTTTGCTAGAGATACCTGGTAGTTTGCATATAGAGCTGACCATTGTTTATTTAGGCTTTAGGGGAAGTTTATAGCTGTAATTACAATCCTGAGTATTTCACTGAGAAACTTAGTTGAACACCTACTATCTAATTGAAAGAAATAAATACTCTTTAAGTCTGTGATTTGCGAAGCATCTATGGTCGGAGTAGTAGTTAACAGCTTACAGGTCAAATTTTGGACCTTATTTTCCTCTAATTAATTTCTTTAATGGAATATAATTTAGCAAGGACCATGGACCATAATCGTAAATTTGATATATTCTGTAACACACAAAGAAAACCACTTTTGTTTAAGAGTTAACAATGTTTGTATGCTTGCTCATTCTCAGCTTCAAGGATATAGCTTCTTATATAGTTATTTCTTATTTTTTGATGGAAAACTCGTGACCTAATGTGTTATCTTAGTTGCAATAGAATATCTGTTTACTTTGATCTTACTCCATGCCTTGTGCAATTTGAAGGAGCATGTGACGCAAAAATCACTTAATTTACCTTGGTATACAATCTCACAATGCCTTATACTTTTGTTGTTGAAGGTATTTTGCTATCAGGATTTGTTTCTTGATTGACGCCAAAACTAGTTACCTTTCTTCGTATTCTGATGAGCAATCTTATTTTGTTGATTCAGTCGTGCAATGCCTCATATAAAAACTTACACTCGATATAATGGCCAAAATCTTGCGTAAGGCCTCTCTTCTAACAGCTTATATTGGGTTTATTGATTTATATATTGCAAATAATTGTATTGTTTCTGGTTAAATGTTTGCATACTGCATATTGATTTAGTTCTTGGCAACAGATGGTTTCTGCTCACTTCAGCAAATTTAAGCAAAGCTGCATGGGGTGCACTTCAAAAAAATAACTCACAGTTAATGATTCGCTCCTACGAGGTAGGCTAGTAGTGTAGGAACCAATTAATATGTAACACTATATATATATATATATGAGAATAATGGGCATGCTTGGTGCCAAGCATAAAATTGGTGCTTGGCAGTAAGGTGACTTATTCACATCAACTTATTTAAAAAGGGGGACCATGTTCACATGGGTGCACATTGGTTTAATAATCAGAAAGAATGGATGTCTCAATTTGAGATTGATATAAATCCAACTGTAAGATAGTTTGGTTATGTATGAAGGCCAGCTGCATTGCTATACTTACGCTTGTGATCTAAAAAATTTCAGTTGGGGATTTTGTTCTTGCCGGCTACTATCCAGAACCATGGATCTGTGTTTTCATGCACAGAGAGTACTGATTTGAAACAGGTAGGCACACAATATTGATTGACCACAATAATCTATTAATGGAATATTGATTTCTATTCATTTCAACTGTGATATTTCCTTCACTTCAGGGTGCGTCTAAACCATCTGCGAGCAATGAAACCATTAAAACAAAATACGTCACTCTTTGTTGTACGGAAAAGAAGAGTAACCAATCATCTGAAGTGATTCAATTGCCTGTGCCATATCAGCTGCCTCCTCAACCATATACTTCCCAAGGTCTGTTTTCAAACACACACACACCCAAAAAAAAAACGAACAAACAAACAAATATATTCCTAATAGGAAATTTTCTCTCTTTATTTTCAGATGTTCCTTGGTCATGGGATAAGCGTTATACCAAGAAAGATGTATATGGGAACACTTGGCCACAGGTTTAGTTGTATCCAAACTGAGAACCATGACATGTATGTTACAGATTTTGTAGTTGAAAGTAGGATGTGTTCAGGAAGTGGGATCTTGGGTCAGGTTCGTAGCTTGGGTTTCATCGCCGTGGTGATTAGTTATAAGCTATGTTTTTCGCCATTTTCACAAGATAATTTTTTAGATTTTGATCATGGTTAGGATTTGTTGTATTGCTCTACGTTTATTGTGGTGTTCTTTCGTTAGCAAGACGGATCGTGCATTGTTCAGTTCAGTTTTTTCATTTGTCCAGGTGATAAATATCTTTCTCCCATGTATGCATCAATACTGATTTTTGAACGTAGGAGAAAACCTTTGTTTCCCCATCTTTGATTTGATCAACTTGGGAAGCAACAACTATGGATGGATCGGTGTACGGGGATGGAAGCACTTGCCAATTTCCTTTTAGAAGATTATAAATAAACGGCAAATTTTATCTACCAAGACAAGAAGAAGAAGAAGAAAAGAACTACTAGAACCACGTTGTGAACCTTTTATTCCATTATTTTTTTAATACCTCATAAATAGTAACCTTGGTAAAGACGCATCCTTCATGTATACTTCAACATGAAAGTAACAAAGTCTTCAAAATAAGTAAGCCATTTTCTCTCTCCGCCTCCTGCACTAGAGAAAAACAGATACACGATAGATCCGTCACAAACACCAGACTCGACAAGGCTGCGTCGGTGATCCCTAATCACTCGACCAGTTTTGTGCACCAGAATCAGCCTTTGCTCTTGAAACTTCTCCTTGCTCGCAATCTCTCGCTTCAGATTCTCGACTGTGGCATTGTCGTCCACCTCTATGTAGAAGAACCTCCCTGATAGTATCTCCACCCCAACCTTCATCTCCAATGCTGCAGGTTTCAGTTGGGCGTGTAAATAACGGGCTTCTGAGGTCAGGTCTTGATAATTGCTTTTTGGTTGATTTGTTAAAACAATGTAATAGAACGTGGCAAAAGTAAGTAGGAAGAGATTTTTCATCTTAGCCGACAGCTAATAATTTGACCCACGGTCAGTATTCACTGCATGTTGACCTACACGTTTCTTTCTTAACCTGAAAGAAATCTGTGAATCTAATGTCGACTGTTTACTCGAGCTCCCCGTCCTAGCCATTATTTATTTATTTCTATTTATTTATTTATTCCTTTTTTGTGATAACCAGTGCTGTGTTGTTAACGAGGCAAAAAAATTTCAGATACGACATACCAGACTATAGTATATATTTCTCCCTTTGCCTAGGAACATTTATTACTACTATTTAAAAAAGTCTTTTTGGTGTTTTGCCTCTATATAAATCACCCTTTAGGAAAATTCCAAACCCAAATTTGTACACACGATTTTCTATAATCTACAATTTAATAAAGGACCAATTTGAAAAAAAAAAGATAAATAATCATCTTCTTCATAATTAACCCCACTGTCTCATACAATCTATTCACTACTTCAAATTAATTACCCTATTTTTGAAATACCGTATACTTATATTATTTTGTGGAACTATTTTTAATACATGTATTATATTAATCATTAAGGTGTTAGACAATTTATTTATTATGCATAAGGATGTACAAGTTTGTCTTGTTGGGGATGGGTGGCACTAGGGGCACACCCCCAACCACATCCCAAACCACCCCCCCAGTGCATCGGGCCCCACATGAGATTTTAAATTTAAAATCTCATGTGGGGCCCGGTGCACTGTAGCACATGAGGGGGGGTGTGGTTTGGGATGTGGTTAGGGGTGTGCCCCTATCATTTTTACTGCATAATATGCAATCAATGAGAAGCGAAATATCGAACAAATGAAAAAATATAGCAGTATCTTAGAAAGTAAATACCATATGTAAATTTGACGATTTACTGACAATCTTGTACATCTACAATGAGAGATTTGAATTTTATTTCTTCCAGAAATTGTACAAGATTTGATCTTTATTACATTCTTCAAGGAAACCCCCGAGAAAGTCTCTTTCAATCTCGTCAAAGATATTCAAAAACCCTAGAGTTTTTTTCTTTTTCTCTCTCTACAACGGTCTTCAACTCTTTATGTTTCTTGGTGACTCGATTTACAATGAATTTCTTAGAGGTATCTAAAAAGTTTTCCCTATATTGAATCTACATAGGATTCATTCTTTGAGTTGGATTATCAAATCTCAATCATATATTACTTGGAATTAAATTCTATTTGAAAATGTTTCTTTCTAGATAAGCTTTTAAGTCTTAATCCAAGTCCAACTAGGAATATCTCAATACAAGGGATAAATCCTAATTCTTCTTTGATTCTCAACCATGC